GTCAGGGCTAGGGAAGCTGGGAGGGTGGGAGATAGCAAGAGATGGGCATAGTGAGAGATCATGAGAGAGAGAGAGAGAGAGAGACAGAGAGAGAGAGACAGAGAGAGAGAGAGACAGAGAGAGAGAGAGAGAGAGAGAGAGACAGAGAGAGAGAGAGACAGAGAGAGAGAGAGACAGAGAGAGAGACAGAGAGAGAGAGAGACAGAGACAGAGACAGAGACAGAGAACAGTGGGTAGAAAAATCATTTGAATTATGGAGAAGAAGAGTAGCTGGTGGGAGAGGCTCCTTTGGGGGACAGAAAACCCTTCAAGGTTCCCGAGGAATGCTAGCTTTTATCTAGCCACCAGAAATCCTTCCCTAGTCCAGCTTGAGCTCATTTCTGTATGTACGGGTAACCTGGGACCTAACACAGACAAGCATGGGCTTGCTTACCTGTACTCTCAGCACTGAGGAGGTAGAGTGAGAGACCCTGTCTCAAAAAATACACTGGAGATGGATGGAGAGAAACACCTTGTGGCAGAGAATGGCCCCCATGGATTCCTAGATTTGAATACTTGGTCACCAGGGAGTGGTACTATTTGAAAGGATTAGGAAGTGTGGCCTTGTTGGAGGAAGTGTGTCACTGTGGGTGGGTCTTGAGGTTTTAAAAAGCCCATTCCAAGCCTAGAGACTCTCTCTTCCTGCTGCCTGTGGATCGGATATTAAACTCTCAGCTCCTTCTCCAGCACCATGTCTGCCTGCATGCCACCATGCTTCCCACATGATGATAATGGACTAAGCCTTTGAAGCTGTAAGTGAGGCCCCAATTAAATGCTATCTTTTATAAGATTGCCATGTTCACGGTGTCTCTTCACAATAACAAAACACTCACTAAGACAGAAGTTGGAACCAGGGAGAGGTGTATTGCTATGACAGGCCAGACCATGTTATTTGTTAGTGAAATGTGGACTTTGGGCCTTCAGACTAGAAAAGCCATTGAGTATTAAGATCTATGGATGGTTCTGTAGGGGCTTGGATGATAAGAATGCTGAGAGCAGTGCAGAGGATGAAGACCTGGCCTGTGATGTTTCAGAGGAAAGTTTAAAGACTACCAGGGCCATTTGTTATTTTGAATTAAGGTTCTTTGGTTCTGGTTAGCTGAGGCTAAAGAATCAGCAGTGATTAACAAGATACCAGAACTACTAAAGTGAAACCATTGCTTTGCTGGGATACTTAATGCAGACGGATCAACCGGAGCTGAGAAATTAGTGGTGATTAAGATGAGACTGGGGGCTGGAGAGATGGCTCAGGGGTTAAGAGCACTGACTGGCTGCTCTTCCTTCCAGAGGTCCTGAGTTCAATTCCCAGCAACCACATAGTGGTTCACAGCCATCTATAACAAGATCTGGTGCCCTCTTCTGGCCTGCAGCCTGAACACTGTACACTATATACATAGTAAATAAATCTTAAAAAAAAAAAAAATGAGGCCAATGCCACTGAGGTGAAATCTTCTGGAAAGTGTTTCCTCAGAGTCAGCACACAGAGGTGGCCAAGGTTGTACCTTACGCTGGCAGCCGAACATGGTAGTATAAGAGTCACTCAGGTGGTACTGGTTCTGAAGGCATGAAGGAGCCATGAGGAGCAGCTGAGGCTTGGCTCCATGAGAGGCCAGGAGAGGCAAATGATGGAGATACAGCCTCACTGGCCCAAGATTGAAGAGAAATTGAGGCTTGGCACCATGAAGAGAGCCTATGAGAGGCTGTTGGTGAACGTGTAGCCCAGTTGTAGCAGGAGACCCCAGCGTTTCGGGGATGCCAATAGCATGGGATGACCACCAAGAACAGCAACAGTGTGGAAGGAAGTTTACCAAAGCTTAGAAGAAAGCTGTGTGTGCTACAGAAGGCAGAGCTGGAGAAGCAACCCAAGACCTTTAGAGGAGGCCAGAAGATCGTAAGTGAATCCCATACTATCTTAGTTAGGGTTTCTATTGCTATGAAAAGACACCATGACCACAGCAACTCATAAAGTAAAACACATTAATTGGGGTGGGTGGCTTGCTTACAGTTTCAGAGATTCAGTCCATCATCATCATGACAGGGAGCGTGGCAGTGTGCAGGCAGACATGGTGCTGGAGAAGTTGTTGAGAATGCTACATCTTGCAGGCAATAGGAAGTTGACTGAGATACTGGATAGAATCCTGAGCATAGGAAAACTTAAAGCCCACCCGCTACAGTGACACACTTCTTCCAACAAAGCCACACCTCCTGATAGTGCCACTCCCTATGAGATTATGGAGGCCAATTACATTCAAACCATCACACAGACATTGGACACTGAGTTATTTAGACTGTTGGAGTTTGGTTTTGCTTTGTTTGGATGGTGACTGTACCCTGGTTCTTCCCTCTTGAAGAGAGACGGTATTTAATTTAATTTTGATTTTTACAGGATCCCACAGCCAAAAGACTTTGAACTTTTAAAAGAGATTTTGTATTTTTTAAAGAGATTAGATATTTTATTACATTTTAAAAATTAGATTTATTTGTCTTTTTATCTGCATGAGGGTTTTCTTGCATGTATGTATTGTTTGGTTGGTCTTTGGTCTTTTTTTTTTTCTGGGGGTCTGCCACCCAGCTCCCAAATAAATCATACATGGAGGCTTAATTTTTTAATTATGAATGCCTGGCCTTAACTTAGCTTAGTTTCTTGCCAGCTTTCCTTAGCTTATATTATCCCATCTACCTTTAGCCTCTGGGCTTTTCCCATTCTCTTACTTCTGTACATCTTACTTTCACTCTGTGGCTTACTGTGGCTACAGCTGGGTGGCTGGCCTCCGGAGTCCTCCTCCTTCTCTGGCTCCTCAATCTCCTCCCCTCCCAGATTTCTCCTCCTATTTATTCTCTGCCTGCCAGCCCCGCCTATCCTTTCTCCTGTCTTGCTATCGGCCGTTCAGTTTTTTATTAGACCATCAAGTGTTTGAGACAGGCACAGTAACACAGCTTCACAGAGTAAAACAAATACAACATGGACAAAAGTAACACACCTTAAAATAATATTCCCCAACATGTACGTCTTTGCACAATGTGCATGTGGTACCTATGGAGGCGAGGCATCAAAATTCTAGATCTAGATGGTTGTGAACAAGTGTCTGAATGCTGGGGACTCAAACCTGGGTCCTCTGGTAGAACAACCCAGTGATCTTAACTGCAGAGCCATCTCTCCAGCACCAGAGACTGGATACCTCGAACTCACAGAGATCCGCCTGGCTCTGCCTCCTGAGTGCTGGGATTAAAGGCGTGCGCCGCCGCCGCCGCCGCCGCCGCCGCCGCCGCCGCCCAGCTTGAGAAAGGAAGGTCCTAATTGAAAAGTGATATGCTTGTGTGCCAAGTTGACAAGGGGTCAGTTGTACTGGATACTTTTATGTCAGTTTGACACAAACTACAGTCATCAGAGAGGAGGGGGACCCAACTGAGAAAATGTTGCCATATGATCCAGCTGTAGGCAAGCCTGTAGGGCGGTTTTCTTAATTCATGATTGACGGGAGAGGGCCCAGCCCATTGTGGGTGGGGCCACCCCTGGGTTGGTTGTCTTGGGTTCTATAAAGAAGCGGGCTGAACAAGTGTGGTAGTTTAAATGCAATTGCCCCTCCTGCCCACAAGCTCATAGGGAGGGGCACTATTAGGAGGTGTGGTTTGTTGGAGTAGGTGTGGCCCTGTTGGAGGAAGTGTGTCACTGTGGAGGTGGGCTTGGAGGTCTCACATATGCTCAAGCCACGCCCAGTGTCTCAGACCACTTCCTGTTGCCTGTGGGATCAAGATGTAGCTCCTTCTCCACTCCCAGCTCCTTCTCCAGCACCATGTCTGCCTGTCTGCCACCATGTCCCTCCATGATGATAATGGACTAAACCTTTGAAACTGTAAGCCACCCAATTAAATGTTTTCTTTTGTAAGAGCTGCTGTGGTCATGGTGTCTCTTCACAGTAATAGAAACCCTAACGAAGACAGCAAGCCATGAGGAGCAAGCCAGTAAGCAGCACCCTCCATTGGCCTCTGCACCAGCTCCTGCCTCCAGGTTCCTGCCCTGCTTGAGTTCCTGTCCTGACTGCCTTTGATGATGAACTGTGATATGGAAGCACAAGCTGAATAAACCTTTTCCCCCTCAAGTTGTGTTGGTCATGGTGTTTCATCACAGCTATAGTAACTAAGACACACCTGTTTTCAACCTCTAGCTCCTCCGGGCATGCACGTGGGCACACACCCACACATACCCCCAAGCATCACACACTCACATGCAGTTTTTTAAAAATTATAATTTTCTTCTTAAATTTTATGTACGTCTTTTTTTTTTTTTTAAGGCTTATCCCTAAACATCTTGCTTTATGCTGTAGCAACAGATATAAATGTGGTCTTTTAAATGTTTTGCATTGGAAGTATCTGTTACAAACTTGTGTTAGGAACAGAATCAGTGTTTGAATGTCAACCTCAACATTTTTCAGGATGCTATCATGCCGTCAGTCGGCAGCCAACACCGACACAATCTTCAGCCACAGACCCTGAGCCCAGCATTTTGTACAGATGGAAAGCATTCTCCCTCACAAGTAAGTGCTCTGTGAAGATGTGATTACTCTAAATATCTATGGCCGAGACATCTGGAGATTCTAGAAGTGCACAGAGGTTAAGTAAACTACTTAAGGCCATAAATGGCAGAGGAGCCAGGATTAGAACTCATTGTTTATCAGTAAGGACCCTAAACAATGATGTCCCATTTTCCTCTTACACTTCCCCAGATCTGCCTTGCTTCGAATGAGTTACTTGTCTATTGGTTTTTTGTTTTGTTTTGTTTTGGTCTTTTCAAACTATAGCAAATACTGTACAAATGGACTAGTAGTCAGCTAGCAAGCCCATGGCTAATGGCCTAGCAGAGTGTCACAGGATGTGAGCAAAGGAGTGTGAGTGTGTGTGTGTGTGTGTGTGTGTGTGTGTGTGTGTGTGTGAGTGTGTGTGTGTTGGGAGGGGAAACGCACTGAGGAGCATTCTGCGAGCCAATGGAATCCACCAAGCTCTTGGGATCGCTGGTATACTTCCCAGGGAGCCAGGAATTTCATGCATTTCAGCTCTTGCCAAGTCGGGGCATCCTCAGCTAGGGCCTGCAAGCTCCAGGGAGGCCTGAGAGGGACTGAGCCCGGCCAAGCCCAACACAGTGTCAAATAACAGGCCTGTTCTTTCCCCACCCTCCACCCCCAGGCTTGGGCTGAATCAAAGGGCCATTCAAGCCCCTCCCTTTCACTAACAGAGGCCACAGGGGCCAATCCCCCGGGGCTGAGGCGAAGCAATCCCACGGGTTCCTGCTTCAAACAGGCTTGAGTCTGAAACCACAGTGCACTTGGCTCTCATTTTACACACATTACTTTTTGCAAAAGAAGGAATTGGAAGAATGGAAGGGAGAGGGTTTTTGAGAAATGGGGGAATTCTTTTTTCCGCCTGGAGAATGAGGTTAATAAGTGGAAAAATACAACTACTCCTCTGTGAAGGGCCTCTGGGGAGGTTACCGGGCCAGGGTAATTAAAAACAAATTAAAAGCTTATATCATTCATTCAGCTCCCTTGCATCTATCAGTCTGGAAGAAATGAATGGATTTCAGGGCATGGAGTCTGGGAGAACAGAGCCTCCTTAAGTGAGGGACTTGAGAAAGGAAGGGGCATCCACGCGCTTTCTCTCTGCATCCCAATTCGCTCCTGCGTTTCAAAGGGAAGCATTCTGGTGCTTTGCATGGTGTGACCAAACCCCAGGTTTGAGCCGTCCTGGATGCTTCGCTTGAATTTCCCAGGCTGTGTCTCCTTTCTGTAAAGTGCTGGTGACACTCCATCAGCAGTGCCCACCCGTGTTTTCCAAGCCGATAGAACCGCTGTGAAGCAGGAATGAATTGGGGGGGGAGGGGGCGCTTTGCCCAGACTTGCTTCTTTCGCCTCTGCTGCAGACCACTTTCAACACCATCCTGGCTGAGCAGTGAACTCTAACAAGTTGGTCCTGAGACATGACAGTGCTCTCAACAACTCCCCGTGGATGCTCAGTGTGGGACTGTCCACGCAACACTAGTGACAACATGCATTAAGAGTTTCTTCTTGAGCCAAATACCAGTTATTCATGACCCAGACCCATGGATTCGGGCTGTTCCAAAGAGTGTGTTCTGCCATGGAAGGAGCCACATGAGATTTTATTAGTTACAGAACAGAGCATCCTGAACCAAATAGGCGGGTTACAACGCAGGGCGGACATCTCTGCTAGAGGTTTCAGATGCTATGGTTTGACTTTCTCAGCTTCTGGCTTGATGAAGCTAGCGGTCTGTTAACGACAGAGTCTGAAGGTTTTATTTGAGAGTCAAAGGATGGTAGGTAGTTCACATACAGAGGTGAGCAACGAGTCACTGTTAAGGGGACTAAAAGTAGTCCAAGCTAATGCTGCTCAGGATCTGTACCGATTTTAACTCTCCGCAGGCATAAAGTTCTCATCAGCATTTAGGCTTGTGGAATATTTAACACTGATGCGCGCACACGCGCGCGAACACACACACACACACACACACACACACACACACACACGCATGCACCCAGCCACTTTACCCTGGGAACTTTCCCATACAAAGTCTCTGTCTTGGCACTGGTTCAACCTCTGGGCCACCAAACAGTGACTATGGACGGTTCCCAGCACAGCCACATCTTTCTTGAGAATGCCGAGGAAAACTGTAAGAACATGTGGCTGGTTCAGGCTGACCCCAGGGTCAGTACCAGTGGCCGCAGACAGTAGCCCAGTGGCCAGTGTGGAAGTCACAGCCCACAGATCTCCACGGGCATTTTCAAAACCACAGACGTTCTCCCCAAGCCCTGTGTCAATTCCCCAAAGACCTCCCTATGCTCTAGATTTGGACTTGCTCCTTTCCCATGTTTCCAGAAGCACCGTAGCTCTCAGTGGTTCTCCAAAATGGGACCGTTAGCTTTTATGCTCATGGGAAAAAAAAAAAGCCATCCTTTCTCTCATCCCGTGGCCAGAAGCCATGGCTTTTCATTATGAACCCCAGGAGCTGGCAAAGTCCCTGTCTTCAACGATGATGGGGTTTTCCAAACATGGGAATCGGCGAGCTCTCCAGTTTCACAGTCTCCCCTCACTTTCCACCCCCCACCGTGAGGCAGGGTTGCTTTCTTCTGCGCTGAGAACCAAGTGGGGGCGGGCAGGATCCATGAGGTGAGATCATTGCCAAATGTTTGACTCCTGCGGCTAGTTTATAAAAAAAAAAAAAAAAAAAAAAAAAAAAAGTATTGGCTTTTGTCTGCTGCTCACCAGGCTGTAAGGAAGCCTAAACTGGCCTGCCACAATTTAGTGCAACAGTGTGTGTGAGTGTGTGGCGTGTGTGCATTTGTGTTAAGTGTTGCATGTGTGTGAGAGTGTGTAGGTAAGAACATGTTTGTGTATGCTTGTGTGAATGTGTCTGTGTGTGTTGGTGTATGTTTGTGTGTGTGTAAATGTGCTCATTTGTGAGTTTCTGAGCGTGTGAGAGTGTATTTGCATGTGTGTACACATGTGTGAGTGTGTGAGTCTGCATCTGTGTTGGGTTTGTGTGAGAACGTGTTGGGTGAGTATTGATGGGTGGGTGTATTTGTGTTAGTGAAAGTGTGGAGTGTGTGTTTTCGTGTGAGTGTTTGTGTATATGGGTGTGATAGTGTGTGTGAGTATATATTCCTCTGAGAGTGTGAGTGTGCCTTGTATTGTATGTATATAGTGTGCTATGCGTGTAGTTTATATGTTTGTATGTGTATGTATATGTGTGCTTATATGTTCATGTTGTATGGTACTAGTGGATGCACGTTCTTCAGGATGGTCTTGCTCAGCTGTTTCTTTGGGACACTCCCATTTGCTAGTTTCTTTGGGTCTTTTACTCTAGACCAGTGATTCCCAACATGTGGGTCTTGAACCCCACAGGGGTCGCATACCAGCTATTCTTCATGTCAGAGATATTTTCATTACAGTTAAGAACAGTAGCCAACTTACAGTTATGAAGTATCAATGAGATAATTTTATGGTTGGGGTCACAGCAACATGAGGAACTATATTTAAGGGTCACCGCATTAAGAAGGTCAAGACAGTTTCCCACTTCTGTTTCCTCACATCCTCCCTAGTTGGAAAGATGTGGGTCACCCAGAATTGAGACAGGAATGGAGGAAAGAGATGAGAACCTAGGGCTTAGGGTGCAGAGTTCCAGTTGATCCCCAACTGTGGGAGGCACAGAGGTCCTTGTGCTCATAGATAAACACTAGGGAATGTTAAACCTGCAGGATTGTTCTTTCAAGGAAAGGATGCACAACCTGTTATCCACTCAGAAGGCTGGGAGCAGATGTTGTTAATAGCCTGGTGACCTTTTTGTGCTATATGTATGGCCAAGAACACATTGGATCCTCCCCAAGACTCTTATCATGGCTTGCCAATCTATAGAATTATCTTGATGGAAGGTGTCATATGTAGTCAATCTATAGAACTCATCTTTATGGAAGATGTCACATGTACTTTACAAAGAGTTTCAATGTGGTTATATCTCAGGCTTTATTGTGCACATGGGATTGAGTTAATTCTCATCAGCAAAGTTTTCACCAAATTGTATTTTATTTAAACATGCCTAAAATAAACTACTCAGGGTCAGACTCCTGAAGTTTGAACCAACGCTGGCTACTTGACTGTGTTGAACTGAGCAACCTCTTGCCTCCTGTGGAGTGTCACTCTGCTTGCTGTGGTGGGTGCAGAGACCCTGCACCCAACTGTATGCACCAGTCCCGAAGTCCATGAAGCCTGTCTCTCTGGCCCTACCCTCTTAGAAAGAGGGCTTCTGGGATTCTAGGATTGAAGGCGGAGGATGAGGGTACTGCCCGGGTGGGGCACATCCCTGGCCTTGGTGGCTTTTCTTAGCCATTGAGGGAGATTCCACAACCCCTTTCTCGTATCCTTGACTCTACACCCAGAACTACGTAGCCAAAGATGCCAAGTTTGCGGCTTGATGGGGCTGGAACTTTGCCCCTAGTTCAAGTACTTTTGCATCAACTGTCTGTTGTTGATGGTTCCCGCCACTGCTTAAGTGTTCCTTTAATTCCTTTTCAGAAGCGGGAAGCTTAGCTGGGTGGGGTCTGGCCCTGAGGTCATCACTCCCTTTATTCCATTTAGCGTCAAGCTTTTCTTTAAACTTTTTTAAAAAAGATTTATTTATTTATTTATTATGTATAGAGTGTTCTGTTTGCATGTATCCCTGCAGGCCAGAAGAGGGAGCCAGATCGCATTATAGATGTTTGTAAACCATCACATGGGTGCTGGGAATTGAACTCAGGACCTCTGGAAGAAGAGCCAGTGTTCTTAACCTCTGAGTCATCTCTCCAGCCCTTCTTTAAACTTTTTATCTCCTGGAGCACTGGACTTAGCTCCACTACACTTCCTGGTGCTCCTTTTCTCCTCAAACCATACATCTTGTATTTCTCTTTGTCCAGCTTGCTCCTTTTCATTATAGCTCTGCAGAAGCATGATTACTAGTAGCCACAAGACACAGTCAATACTAGGCTGTCTTGAAATCTCCTCTGCCAATGCCACAGATCCAAAACTCTTCAATTGATCCTCAGGCAGATTTTTAGGAGAAGGGCAAAAATCAGCCACATTCTTTGCCAAAAGAATATATGAACAGTCTCTATAGCAGCTGCTAATGTGCTTCCTCTCTGAAACCTCTTGAGCTGGACCCACATAGTTCTCAGCACCGCTGTCTTCCAAGCTTCAATAACCGTGGCCTATTAACCACCCCTTGAAGAATTCAACCACATTCTAGCCCAAAGTCCCAAAGTCTTCCATATTCCTCTAGACAATAGCCTGGTTAGGCCTGTCACAGCCACACCCTAGTCACTGGTGCCAATTACCACCTAGTCACTGTTTTACTGCTGAGAACTGAGCCATCTCCCCAGCCCCGCAAATGTATTTGTTTGAATGAATCTGTAATTTATTCTTTCCAGCCAAGAACACTACAGGTTTAAAAGTCTTCACTATTGAATTCGACAAAGTCTTTCAGTAAGAAAACAACTATTTAACAAACTATCGCAGAGGATAGAAATGCACAGATTATTTCCCAAGTAGGTT